GTGTGAGCCATTTTCCTAAGATAATTTTTTTTTCTCTCTCTCTCTCCATATATAAACTTTGCTGTTCTTTTTTTCTCTAGAGAATCCAGTCTAACACACTGAGCAAATAATCTGAGAAGTTGGACTATAGGAAGAAGAATGTGGCATCAGAATTGGAGGAAGAATCATTAACAACCTGCGATACTCTGACAATACAACTTTGCTTGCTGAAAGTGAGGATGACTTGAGGAACTTACTGATGAAGGTTGAAGAATACAGTCTGCAGTATGAATTACATCTCAATATAAAGAAAACAAAAATCCTCACAACTGGACAGCAGCATCATGATAAATGGAGAAAAGATTGAAGACTTCACATTGTTTGGTTCTATAATTGATGCCAATGGAAGAAGCAGTCAGGACATTAGATGACATATAACACTGGGCAAGTTGGCTGCAAGGGACCTCTTTCAAGTGTTGAGGAGCAAGGATGTCTCCTTGAAAACTAAGGTGCGCCTGACACTAGCCATGATATTTTCAATTGCTTGGTATGCATGTGAGACCTGGACGATCTAAGAACTGATACTTTTGAACTGTAATGTTGGCGAAGAATGCTGAAATTACTGTGGACTGCTAAAAGAACTTACAGATCTGTCCTGGAGGAAGTGCAGCTGGAATGCTCCTTGGAAGTGAGAATGGCCAGACTTCATCTTACCTACTTTGGTCATGTTGTCAGAAGGAACCATTCCCTGGAGAAGGATGCCATGCCTGGTAAGGTGGAGGGTCAACAAAAGAGGGGAAGCCCCTCAATGAAATGGATAGACACAGTGGCTGTGACAAAGGGCTCAAGTATGGCAAGGATCATGGAGCTGGCGCGGACCTGGCGATGTTTCATTCTACTGTGGATAGTGTCACTATGAATTGGACATGACTCGATGGCACCTAACAAAAACAACCCAAGCCATGGTATTTTGAATCACCTCATATGTATGTGAAAGCTGGACAATGAATAAGAGAGACCGAAGAAGAGTTGATGCCTTTGAATTATGCCATTGGTGAAGGATACCGAAAATACCATGGACTGTCAGAAGGACAAGCAAATTTCTCCTGGAGGAAGTGCAGCTGGAATGCTCCTTGGAAGCAGGAATGGCCAGACTTTGTCTTTCCTACTTTGGTCATTTAATCAGAAGCAACCATTCCCTGGAGAAGGATATCATGCTTGGTAAAGTAGAGGATCAGTGCAAAAGGGGAAGACCCTCAATAAGATGGAGTGACACAGTGGCTGCAAGGATTGTGAACATGGTGCTCAACCGGGTACTATTTCATTCTGTTGTACATGGGGTCACTATGAGTCAGAGAACTTGATCACACCTAACAACAAGATTAGATAGATACTGGAGGACTCCTTGACTACTGCCCTAAGTCAGCCTTCGAAAATGGGACTAAGGCTACTCCTAGAGGTCCCGTGTCAACCACATAATAGACTAGCTTATAAAATAAATATTAACTCCCATGTGGAGTGTGTTCCTTTGAGCAATCAACTATATGAGAGGCAACATTTGGCCAAAAACAAAGAAAAGAAGGCAACAGGAAGGGTTAGGGAAACTGGAAAAAAGGAAATGGGGAACCCAAGGTGGAAATGGATGAGTGCTAACACAGGTCAGGGATTGCAGACAATGTCACAGAACAATATTCTATAAATTATTGAATGGAAAACTAATTTGCTATGTAAACTTTCACCTAAAGCACAATAAAATGTTCAAAACAAAATTAGCCTAGGATTAGAGAGGAGTCCCTGGGTGGTACAAAGAGTTAATACACTCAGATGCGAAATGAAAGGTTGGAGGTTTGAGACCACCCAAAGGCACCCCGGAAGAAAAGCCTAGTGATCTACTTCCAAAAAGTTAGGCATTGAAACCCCTATGGAGCACAGTTTTACAATGACACACCTCAGGCTGCTGTGAATTGGATTAGACTCAACGGCAACTGATGACTTGTTAGGATGTAGTGTAAAAGGCATAGATTTTGAAGGCAGACTGACATGGATTTTATTTCAGGCCAAGACCCTTACTAAGGGATCTTAAGCATATCATGTCATCTCTCTGATCTATACCCTTCTCATCTATTAAATGGGAAAAAAGACTTTGTAATGAAGATTTCATCTTGTTAATGGAAGTGCCTGGCTGGATTCTTACAGGCATTTACCTCCTTCACCCTCTTCTGATCAGCCTTGCCAAAAAATCTAAATGTAGCTCTCCCATATGTGTGTAGGTGAAGAGGAGAAGGTGGCTGCCTTAAAAAAAATTGTGATTCACCTTCCTTTTGGCTCAGAAAGTATGATTTTGGAAAGGGCAGACTAACCACAGTCTGTGCCCAGGTACATCTGTAAGACAGTAAATCTGTTCCTCATATGATACATTAGTGAGTAATCATTCCCAGACTAAATGTCAATGATCATGACAATTGGCAGTGGGTGTTATTTGAATGAATAAGTGAAAGGCTTTTTTGAAAGTGGGAAGAGAGCTGTTACATTGTGGGAATTGCAGTCAGTATCATGAAACAAAAGGTGTATGAACTGCTGTATGGCAAATGATATTTTCTCTGTAAACTTTCACCCAAATCACAATGAAAATTAAAAAAAAAAAAAAAAAAAAGGCTTTTTGGAGGGATGAATTTGGAGGGATTTACCAGGCTTTGTAGCATCCCAGCTCTCCTAGGATGATTCACTTTCCTGCTCCCTTAGGGCTGGTTGGGAAAAGCCATAGTCCAAGTACTGAATCCAGGATCTCAGGGTGTGCATGAAATGTCCTTCAGAGACTGATATCTTCTGGCAGTCATTTTTTCTGACTGTTCCTGAGACACTTGTTTATGCCACTTAGGTATGTTGAACTCTGCAGTGTGAACACTCTGCTGTTGTTAGGTGCCATTGAGTCAGCTCCAACAAATAGTAATCCAATGAACAACAGAACGAAACGTTGTCTGGTCCTGCGCCATCCTCACAATCCTTGTTATACCTGAGCCCATCATTGCAGCCACTGTGTCAATCCGTCTCATTGAGGGTTGTGGTGGTTAAGTCCATTGTCAACGTGGCTGGGCCTATTTGAGTAGCTGGGCAGCTGGATGCAGTATTCCCCATGATGAGACTGGTACTCAACTCCATGGTGGAATCTACTGTGAGCAGCTGAGTACCTTTGGGTATGTGGTCTGCTTTCTGTATATAAGAAACAGCTTTGGTAATGGTCTCTAGCTTATGGCACGCGTGGACCCTGCATGTAGCTGTGTCATTGTTCAGCAGACTGCCATGCTCTGCCAACCTTGGGACTTACAATGGACTTGAATTAATGGCCTGCCGTATGGTTTGGTGACATCGGGTCTGTGCCATTTTATTTGTCGACCTTGGGCTTGTTAGCCTCAGCAGCCAGTAGCGGCCTGAGTGAAGAGATGCTTCTAGCTTCAGTGGGCTGGGAGCAGGAGGCCCAGCTAAAGCCCAAGGTCGAGGGGCTTTCACACAGCACCTAGAGCCTGGCACTTTGAACTCGGACTTTCAGCCTCTTGAACTGTAAGAGAATAAACTCCTGTTTGTTAAAGTTTTCCCATTTGTGGTATATTCTTGTCAAAGCAGCAGTAGGTAACCAGAACAAGGGCCTTCTCTTTTTTGCTGACCCTCCCTTTACCTAGCATATCTTTCTCCAGGGAATGGTCTCTTCTGAAAAGATGACCAAAGAATACTCTGCTAGGCGGACCATATCCTATCTCCCTGCCTTATTTCGCTGTTTTGAAATCTAGGAAAGGGGTAACACAATGAGGTGGTAGTGGGGCACACAGTGAGGACCCCACAACTCTGCTGTGTGTCCTTGTGTTTTGACTGAAAGTGGAGACCCTTGTGGTATGTCCAGTGTATGCCATGTCGGCAAGAAGTATAATCATTTTGGTGTACAGGAAATACTGATGGATTTAGAGACCCAAAGACTGGCAGTTAAGTTCCACATCCTTACTGACTATGTAAACTTCGGTAACTGATATGCTTTCAGAAGGCCTTGTTCGTCACATGTAAAAGAATAACAAAACCATCTCAGGGCCAGTGTGATGATTTAATGTAATCATGAATGAAACAGGGCTTCAATAACTTACTGCCAGTCGATTCCAACACACAGCGACTCTGAAGGTTTCCAAGGCTATAAAATCTTGATGGAATTAGATTGCCTCATCTTTCTCCCACAGAGTGGCTGGGGGGTTTGAACCAACACCCTTTTGGTTAGCAGCTAAATGCACCACCAGAGCTTCTTGCAACAGGGCTTAGTTGAATAGTTATGTAGTAAAATACCATATAGTGGTTAAGATTCTGCCTTTGAGTCAGATAGTGTGTGTTACTGTTCATTGATATCCTATACTCCCCTCCAAGATCAGGCTTGCTCATGTGACATGGCCAATGTAAGCAAACTACCCCATCAGTTCCTAGGGAAATCTTAAAGTTTATTAGTAATTCCTTAGTAATCTTTTCCTTACCCCTGTGATGGACAAGGAGTCCCTGGGTGGTGAAAATGGTTAACGTGCTCACTGCTAACCAAAAGGTTGGAGGTTCAAGTCCATCCAGAGGCACCTCAGAAGAAAGGCCAGGCAATCGATTTCTGAAAAAATCAGCCATTGAAAACCCTATGAAGCACAGATCTACTCTGACACATAAGAGTTTCTGCAATTCCACAGCAACTGTTTTTTCTCTGGGGGTGGAAGATGCATATTTGAAGATGGGTGCTGGGGAGATATTTCCCTGAATGATTAGAGTAAGCAGAGCTCCTAGGATGATGCCTGATGGGTCCCTATCATGAGTTGTTTTTGGTTACTGGGTTTGGGGATTGATATTACCTGCAGCAAAACCCAACCTGGCCTTACTGACACCTGGGTACAGTTTCTTTACGTCATTTAATAGAAAACAAAAATCCAAAACACACAAAGAAAACCCATACAGAGTAACACAGATGACAACAGTCTTGGGGAGACTTCTGGGACAGCCTGAGCCAGGTGCTACTTGCTGCCACTCTTGGGAAGAGGCCGGTAGACCCCAACGACCACAGCGTGGTCCCTCTCATAGGGCTCTAGGGTCAGCTGCTCTTGAGGTTTCAAATTTTCCTGCTGCAACTTCCTCACCTCAGAAGCAAACACCGCCTCGGCGGAAGCTGTGGAGTCGATGCAGTTGGCCTTAATGGAAATGAGGAAGTGACCCCCATTGCGCAAGAAGGTGTGGGCGTTCAGAGCCACGATGCGCGACTGGTCTGGCTGGGCCACGTCTGCGAAGATCACGTCCACCATACCGATGAGCATGCGGTACTTGAGGGGATGCCGGGCATCCTCGAGGACCGGGATGATGTTGGTTCGCTTCTTGGCCACATTGACCAGATCGCGACCGGCGCGGTGCGAGAACTCCACAGCGTAGACCAGGCCATCCGGACCGATGATGTCAGAAACATGGGAGACTGTGGTTCCCGAGGCAGCCCCCAGGTACAACACTTTGGACTTTGGCTTGATATGGATCTGGTCGACCCCTCCCAGGATGGCCGCGGCCAGCTTGGAGCGGAAGGGGTTCCACGTGCGATACTCCTGCTTCACGCCATCCTCTGTCACCGTGACGCGCCGCTCGCCGTACACCGACTGGCCTGGCACCATGTTCAGAGTGACCAGCGCGTCCTCAGCTCCGCGGTAAATGAAGACGCCCTCGTGCCGGTGCGGCTCCACCGCCACTGCCTTGGCGCCCTTCCTGCGGCGGTTCTCGCTCTTGGCTATGCAGCCGCGCCGCTGCCCGCCGGCGCCACGGCCCCTACCATCCCCGCCGCCACGACCTCGGCCCCGGCCGCCGCCGCCAAAGCCGCGGCCCCGAGCCCCGAAGCCTCCTTTGCCCCCTGGGCTGCTGCCATCTTCTCCTCCCTCTTCCCCGCTGCCGAGTCCGCCGCCCCAGCCGCCGCCTGACCCCCCGGACCCGCCCCCGCACGAGCCCGCAGCCAATTTCATGGCGCGCCCTCGGCGCTCTGGTGGCTGGCGGTGGCTGTTAGGGGTAGCCAGTAGCTAAGGGCGCTCAGAGGTTACCAGCAGTTGGGGGCGGTCTCGGGGGTCGCAGGTGGAGCACAGCAGCTGTCTCAGAGAATGGAGGAATGAAGATTGGCGGCTGCGTTTGCCCGTAGGGGTTAGCAGCAGAAGAAGGCGACCAGTGGCAGCGGTTCACCGGGGCGCGGTGGGCGCCAGCCGTACTAGGTTTACGGCAGTTCCCGCATCCCGGGAGCCGCCTTTCCACGCAGCGACTGGCGTGATTGCATCACACCCGCTCTGGCGGTCCTGCAGTCCCGGAAGCCCCCCTTCCCAGCCCGCGTGCAACGCATCCTTCTCCACTGTAACCCTTATCATCTCTAACCCCCTTCTGATCTCTCTCCCCTGGGCCAAGGAGGAAGGCTGTGTCTATGCGGAAGCAGAGGGAGAGGTACGCAACGGTTTCATTCCTTGCATACTGTGTGGTCTCAGGAAGTTTAAGCGACCCTCTCTGAGGATCTGAAGTCAGACAAGTTTCTTGATCTATCTGGGTTTTATTATCCTATCTGGAAAATAGACTCAACGACACCTAAAAACAACAAAAACAAGATCTGGAAAATAGAACATACCTCAACGGTTTCCTTATCCTTGTCATGGCACATGCTAAGCACTCTATATGGTTGTTGTTGATTGCTGTTCAGTCCATTCCAACACATGGTGACCCCACCTGTGCAGAGTAGAACTGCTCCATAGGTTTTTCAAGGCTGTGACATTCCAGAAGCAGATCTCCAGTACTGTGCACCATCTAAGTGTTAGTTTTTTTGTTTGGTTGATTGATTTCCTTTGGTCAATGTTTTAATTGAAGTATAACTTTCATACAGTAAAATGCATCATTAAAAAAACACATGTATTGCTGTTATAGCACTTTCCATCTGAGAGTGGCATTGACCATATTGTACAAGATTGTGGGAATGCAAATTGGTATCAATATTCTGACAAGATACTTTCAAAATGTACTTAAACTTTGGCCCAGTTATTCCACTTTGAAAAATTTACCCTAGAGAGATGATTCAAACAACAAAAAAAATGATGGTAATTAGAACCCTTAGAATGAGAGTGATGGTGAAGATAGTGGTGACAATCACCATCATCATGGAAATGATAGTGGAGGTGAAAACAAGTGGACTAATGTAAGAAATATTTACAAGATAGAATTCACAGGACTTTCTGATAGATTATATATGGGAAGTTAGAAGAAAGGAATTTTTAAGCTGGAGATTGCCAAAGTATGGCTGTCTTCCTTGCTGTGGCTAATGGCCTAGGAGATATAACCTTCCTTGGTTTTGACTTAGTTCTGCTCTCCTCCAGCAACAGCACTAAATTCCAGAACTTGTTCTGGAAATATGGGGCAGGAAGAAGTGATGATTCTTTAGTGTTAATGCAGGATACACAGTCCAATATCTTAAATCTCATAATGTACTTCAGTGTCATATTTATCCTTGGATCCTCATGTATGCCTCAAAAGCTTGCTTTTTCAGTTAGCATTTTCTTGGACAAAAAAAGAAAGAAAGAATCATTGGTCAGCATTACGGACAGCAAAGCAGATGGCAAAGTGGACGCTCACACTTGGTCAGCACCAAGGACAGCTACAACAGGGCTGATGGAGTTGGCTTGGCAACTACCCAAGAGCAAGGGAAGGCTGTGTAGGCGGTGTCAGCAAGCAATGGACTTCCCCACTAGTCAAACTAAGCAGTTGGTCTAGACAGAGAATAAGGGTCTGTCTGAAGATCAGGGTAGTGTCAGACAGGGAGTACTGAACAGAAGCATACTCTCATTACATTCTGGACCACCAGTCTCTTCCTGTCTTATATTCATGGACAGGGACACCAAGGTCTGGTTTTCCCTGAGTGCCAAAGTGCTTCCTGAACAGGAGCCAGGAGACTATATAGTGGAATGTGGAAAGGTGACCAGAGAGTGCGATGTATGATTCTTGAGGTTGATGGTTCATATGAAACACTGTTCTGAGGCTTCCAACTTTATTAAAAATTGAGGAATCATCTCCAAAATGATAAGTGAGGCTTGGTGCCTTGGTTTGCATTTCTCCAAAGTCAGAACTTGAGACAAGAATTCAGGTCCAAGTGGTTTATTTGGGACATGATCCCAGGAAGCACTAGTGGGAGAGTGTGGAAAATTACACAGGAAAAATAAAAGGTACTTTAATGAGCAGATTACCTCTGGAGGCAACTGAGGCTCAGTCTCTCTGGGTAGCCTCTGAAATACAGTATGGAAGGTGCCTCAGAATTGTACCATTAGAGGCTAGAAGGCTGGGGCATTTATCCATTATTCTCCTTTTCCTTATAGTCAAGATTTGTTTTTGAACATTAACTCCCTTGCCCATAGAGTTTCTCCTTGCGTGGCTCAGAAAACTTCTGATGCTGCAGAAAGCCCTCAGGCAAAGAAGCAGGCACTTGAGATGCTAAATTGCCATCATGCTGGAAACTATTTACTCATCTACAGGTGCCCTCAGAAGTGGACCTAGGGAATATGGGGGTAGGGCATTGTTTTGGTTACCTAGTGCTGCTCTGACAGGATTATACCACAAATGGGATAGCTTGAACAAACAGGGGTTTATTCTCTTACAATTTTGGAGGCTTTAAGTCCAAGTTCAAAGTGCCAGGCTCTCGGGGCTGGGTGAAAGCCCCTCAACTTTGGGCTTCAGCTCTGCCTTCTGCTCCTGGCCCACTGAAGCTAGAGGCTTTTCTTCACTCAGCTGCTGGCTGCTGAGGCTGACAAGCCCAAGGTTGACAAGTAAAAAGGCATGGTCCCAATGTTACCAAACCACATGGCAGGCCATTAATTCAAGTCCAGATGAAGTCCCAATTTCTGTAGGACATGGAAGGCTGTTGAACGACTTGGCTACATGCAGGGTTCAAGCATGCCAAAAGGCTAGAGACCATTCCCAAAGCTGCTTCTTGCATACAGGAAGTAGACCACATCCCTAAAGCAGCTACTCAGCTGCCTGTGGTAGATCCCACCATGGAGGTGATTTCCAGCCTCATCATGAGGAATAACTACCACCTAGCTTCCCAGCCACTCAACCAGGCCCAGCCAAGTTGACACACAACCTTAACTACCACAGGTATCAACACTGTCTAATTCACCTGGCCAGTATATCTTATATACAACCAGAACTTTGTAACTTAGAAAACGTGCATGATCTCGTAAAATTGACTATATCATGAAATAAAGCCATATTGTAAGTGTACTAACACTACATGTAATACAATATTCAACTTAGTAGTACAAAACATTCATCAATGAGCATTAATATTTTTCACTCTGGTGCACAGTATCATTGAGGTCTGTATACATTCGAATAGCTTCTTTCTTCTTTGTTTTTGTTCATTGTTATAAAGTCTATTGGCCCACAATGAACCCTCTTCATTATGCTTACCAGCTATGGTAGGGGATCTGAAACTTAATACCAAGAAATCTACCAATCTTTTATGTAAAGCAGTTAATTCTTTCCTCTCCTCCAGGAAGCAGCTTTAGCAGAAATGCTTACTGATGCATTCTAATGTTTGTTTTACCACTTCCTGTTATGTTGTCATTAACTCTTCATCACAATATAAGAAGTCTCTGGGTGCAAATAATTAATGTACTCAACTGCTAACTAAAAGGTTGGAAGTTTCATCCACCCAGAGATGCCTTGAAAGAAAAGACTGGTGATCTACTTCCAAAAAAATTATCCATAGAAAACCCTAAGGAGTACAGTTCTTCTTTGCTTCACATGAGGTCTCTCTGAGTCAGAATTGACTTGATGGTTACTGGTACTGATATCACAATACATGTATCTTCAAGCCCCTGTTCATAATCTCGTTTTAAATGAATTGAGGTAGGTTTTCTCCAGCACATTTGCTGCTCAGTTCAGAATTTATACCCTCAAGGATGTCATGCATTCCTATGTGACCTATTAAATGAAACCCATTGGGAGGGTGGCTAGTAATTACAAAGCTAAATCAAACAAGGGATACCTTCATGAATTTTGAGTTGTTCTTTGGGATTGATTACTATAAAGTACCAATAGGAGTGGCCCATCTTGCTGGTGGTGCTCATTTTCTCAGGTTTTGCTGCACATCCTACTCATCAGACCTCATACCAGGGCTCAAGGCAGCCTCCATTCCATTCTAATATGTACATTTCTCCATACATATGTTCCTCCTCCTGCCCCCAGCTGACCATTGATTCCATCACATTACTGCTGTCATTTTCAGCAATCTGCAAAGAGTTTCAAAAGCAGAATTATCTTCTTCTCCTTCAAGGTATGCAGGCCTAAGGTGGTTCCATCACAACCTTTCCCACCAACTTATTGCTAGTGACAGCATTGGAACTAATACAAACCAAGTGTGCAAATCTTACTCCCAACCAGAGGTATCCTTTGATGATTCCCACAGAGACCTTCTTTGTCTCCTGGCTTTGAGTCCTACCCAGCACATCCATTTGTTACAGTCTGCCTGTTAGGATGCTATGGCATGGGAGCACCCATCAGCTGGCAAGACTTTCAGACCAGTTGACTATATCCCACCTATCCTGTGCATGCCCTGAGAATGCTACCAGGGCAGGGACTCATACCAGTAATTGGTATCATAAGGGGACTGCCATGTCAAAAAACTCTTCCACTAAAGGTTTTATCTGGGATTACTGACAACATTCCTTAACAGTGGGTCCAATCTACTCAAGATGTTTCCTATGGGTTGCATTATGACTCATACATTTCTCTCTGACAGCCAGTCAGAACAAATATAGTCACAATGAGACCAATATGCTACATCATGATAAATGGAGAAAATATTGAAGTTGTCAAGGATTTCATTTTACTTGGATCCACAGGCAACACTGATGGAAGTAGCAGTCAACAATCAAATGATGTATTGCATTGGGTAATTCTGCTGCAAAAGACCTTTTTAAAGTATTAAAGAGCCAGAATG